AAAAAAAAAAAAAAAAAAGATCCAACCCTCTGACTGAACAGAGTGGATTAAGCTCAGGACATTGGTTTCTTGTCTTAGAAGAGACCCCTACAAATAGGGATTCCTGTCAGGAGAAGTCTTTATCAGAACATGTATGTAATCCGTGCCTAATGAAAACACAATTGACACCTACCTCTTCTCAATTAAAAAACCCCAGTATGGGTAGGGAGAGGGTATGTGGGAGAAGAGAGGGTATTCGGGGGGACCTCACCTAATGTGCATGATGCAATGGTACATTTCAAAACTATTAAGAAATGAGTATAATTGTGATGGACGTGTTACTTGATTCAATGTAAACATTTCACATTGTATATCGAAGCAGTACCCTGAACCCCATAAATGCATCAATGTACAAAGTTATAATTTAATAAAAAATAATCATTAAAAACATAAAAAAAAGCCTAAAAGGAAAAAAAAAACAATATACAAATATAGAAGTTGTTTATAGTCAGCAAACAGAGAGATAGCCCCCTGGCAAGTAGGAATGAGGGGGTTCCAGTCACAACAAATAGGTCAGAAATAAGCCTCTTTCTTTTCCCATCACCTAAAACAAGCTGGTTATCTTTAGTTACAACATACGTAAAATTAATTCAAACCACTATTATAAGACTTTTATGATTAAAGAAAAAGACTTTTATAGGAGGTGATTGTTTCATAAGCAGCTCCCTTCAATCATAATAGCTTACATTTGCATGCCGGTCACTGTGTGCAGGCACTAAAGTGCTTTCTGTATGGTGACTTAATTATTCCGAAGGATCACCCTATGAGGAAGGTACTCTCATGTTGTAGGTTGGGCTCTTTGGGAAGCGGACTCCAAGAGGGAGATAAGATTGCAAGATATTTACTAGGAAGTCTTGGGATCAAAACCTGAGGAAGGAAGAGAAAGAAAGCAGGACTCGGCTGAGTGAGCAGTTGAGCTGGAACGCAGGTCCAGTGAGGACCTTGCCAACTCTATATGAAACTCTGGAGCTGGGAAGGTCCTTCTAGTTGCCTTGAATTTGGGCAACAGGGTCAGGCCATTATACCTTCTGTTGGTCAGTCGTTGGATATGGCTGTCCCTGGTAGGACGGAAGCCAGGACCTGGGGAGAGACAATTTCCTTCACCCAGGCAATCCCCAAAGAGGGCTGACAGCTAGGGGCCATCTTCTGGTAATACTTCCAGCATCTGAGAAGCAGAATCTGGGGATGCATCACAGGGTCATATCATTATCCCTGCTTATGGATGATGTAACTGAGGCACAGAGAGGTCACAAAACTTGAACAAAGCTACATGACCAGTAAGTGGTGGAAGTAAGAGTAGACCATAGACCAATGGGCTGCAGAGTCCACACCCTTGACCACTACATGGCAATCTTTGAATAATTACTCTCCTATAATTTCCAGATTCCACAGGCATCATTTGTTTAAAGAAAAAGAAATTACCATTATATTTCTTCCTACATGCACTATTTCTTTTTCTTTTCTTTCTTTCTTTCTTTCTTTCTTTCTTTTTTTTTGAGGCAGAGTCTCACTCTATCACCCAGGCTAGTGGTGTCAGCTTAGCTCCCAGCAACCTCAAACTCCTGGGCTCAAGTGATCCTCCTGTCTCAGCTTCTTTGAATAGCTGGGACTACAGACATCATCCACAGGGCCTGGCCTTACATGCACGTTTGATCAGAGTTTCCTTTTCTAAACTTTAAGGACAGTTGCATGATTTTATTCTTCTCCTGAAAAAAAAAACTGCTGCATTGATATAAAAAGGTGCACCGGTGGCTGCCCATCATTGTTCATACTCAGGAACAGATTTAATACATCACTTTTACCTGTAAATTCTACAACTGCTTGTTTGGGGGAAAGAGCCATTTTACCTACATATTAGTCTCATCTCAGTAACTTCTCCAGGTAGATATGCCTCCTGTTTAAATTATTGGAGCACCTGGTTGGCCTAACATTTTCTTAATGTTCAAGAACCTACCTACTTCATTATTTGTTTTTTAAAATGTAAGCTCCCAAAATAAATAAGATTACATTTACATATATATGAGGGCTATCTGGAAAGTATCCAGCCATACAATATGAAAAATAGTATTAACAATAATTGGATACTTTCTGGATGCCCCTCATATGTTACACAAACATTGTAGAAGCATGAAACGGCAAAGGCCTAAGAAATGGCTCAAAGTTAATACGTCCAGAACAGAATTCTTGATTTTCTCCCACAGTACCCTGTTCCTGCATCACTCTTTTCTGATAAATGGCACCAGAATCTATCCATACTGCACAAGAAAACAAGAGTTATCCTAGATTCCTTGCTGTTCCTAACTTCCCTTGTCCAATCCATCTGCAGACTTTAGTCAGTTCTAAAGATATGCCCAAAATCAGCTGCGGCTTTCCCCCTTCACTGACTAATCAAGTGGCCACTCTTCTTTCTCTAGACTCCTGTGATGACCTCCCAATAGGCCTCTTTTCTGACACTCTTATCCTCCTACAAAATGAAATGACATTTTAAAGAAAGCCAGTGACATCACATCCCACCTTCTTACTAAAACCGTTTAATCACTTCCTTTTGTACATAAAACACAAACTGCTTACACTTCCCCACCTGTGCTAGATGATGCCTACTGGTCCAGTTTAACCTGGGAACACTCTAGGCCTTTCTTTTCTTGGCCTTTGCTTTGCTTTTCCCTACCTAAAATATCCCTTCCATACAAAGTCGGCTCCAGAGGTCTCATTCAAAGAGAGTTTTCCTAACCGTGTCATCTAAAGTAGCCCTTCCCATCTGTTTCTACTCCCTTATCCTGTTTTATTTCCTGCAGTATTTAGCACTAGCCGAAATCACCTTGGATATTTTTTATCTACCATACGACAAAGAGAGCCCACAGGAAAGCAAAGCAAGGGTTCTTCTGTCTAATCGGCTGCTCTAGTCCCAGGACCAAAATAGTGTCTGGCATGTCAACAAGTTATTTGTGGAAAATATTTCCTGTTAACAGTTTTCTATATATTCTTCCCTCTTTCTCAAAAAAGAAAAAATTAATAATGTGATCACATTACACTTGGCCTAACTTTTTTTTTTTTTGAGATAGAGTCTCATTATGTTGCCCTTAGAGTGCCAAGCTGTCACAGCTCATAGCAACCTCAAACTCTTGGGCTTAAGTAATTCTCTTGCCTCAGCCTCCCAAGTAGCTGAGACTACAGGTGCCCACCACAACATCTGGCTATTTTTGTTGTTGTTGTTGTTGTGCAGTTGTCAGTATTGCTTTAGCTGGCCCAGGCCGGGTTCAAAACCACCAGCCTCGGTGTACATAGCTGGTGCCGTAACCACTGTGCTAAGCCTGGCCTAACTTTTTAAAAAACTATTTATTTTGAAATAATTTTAGGCTTACACAAAAGTCAGAAAAATAGTACAAAAGGTTTCCATATAACCCTTAACCCAGTTCCCCAGTCTTGACAGTTCAATTTAATAGTTTTTACTAGTAACTAATCTACAGATCTTATTCAAAATTTTCCAATTGTTCCTCTAATTCTCTTTTTCAATTCTAAAACTCAGAGATCCCACATTTCATTTAACTTTTATATCTCTTTTTCTCTAATCTGGGAAAAAATTTCTTACTCGTTTTTGTCTTTTAGGACCTTAACACATTCAGGCTAGTTTTTAGTAGAATGTCCTATTATTTGGATTACTATGATACTATGACATTTATTGGATTACTATGACACTCACAAGTACTTTAAGGTTATACATTTTTTGCGAGAATGCCACAGGTGTAATGTTGTGATGTTGTAATAAAAAAATTAAGGTAAAATTTTCAGTACTAGATCATAAATAGGACATTCTCTATTTTAAAAATATCACTATGGAATTTCCAATCACCTTGCACTACCTTTAAGCAGCATTTTTCTATCTGTGTTCATCTGCACACATAATTTAATATATGTAGGTCTAGCCCTCCCACCACTTCTCCTTAAGAGGAACTTGGGATCCAGAAAGCTCTAAACTTCATTGCCTATCCTTTCTATCCTCATCCTTTGAGTTCCTGAGACGACACCTGAATGCTGTGCTGCCCTCCTATATGAGTTACCTG